AAGTAAATAATAAAAATAAATAAAAGAAATAAATACAAGGATAAATACAAGGATAAAAAATAATTAAAGATTAAATGAAGAAATAAAGCCGCACTTGCTCCAGCGCGCGCATGAGGGTTTCCGGGGCGGGCGGGTCCATGAAGTCGAAATGAACTAAGTCATCAATTCCCAATTTCTTTAAAGTCAAGACAACACTTGCGAGATTTGATCTGAAAACAAAAAAATATAAATTTATTTCGATCTTTTCCTTCAAAATACATTCAAATGGAGTTTCTTTCCTCATGTTTCCACTTTTCTGCACAATTTTGAACATGCAAAGATGCCCGGGACTGCAGCAGCAGCTGCAGCAGGTGCTGCAGCAGCAGCACCACCACCCTTAGCAGCAGCACCACCCCGACCGCCTTCAGCATCACCACCACCCCTACAATGCTCATAAGCAGCAGCAGCAGCAATACTCCCAACAGCAGCACCAGCAGCAGCAGCACCACCCCCACCAGCAGCAACACCCGCAGCCCCCCCTCACCACCCCTCCCCGCACACCCCCACCACCATACCCACCACAACCACCACAACCACCACAACCAGCAGCAGCAGCAGCAGCAGCAGACCTGAGTATTTCCGCGTATGTTTGGTCGACGAGTTCAGTTTGGAAAGCAGCTTCCGTGTAGAGTCGGAAGCACTTCCCGGGCCTCGTTCTTCCGGCCCTGCCTGCGCGCTGCTGCGCAGAGGCTTTTGAAATGGGGGAAACGAGAAGGCTCTCGACGCGGCTGCGGGGGTTGTAGACCTTCTGCTTGCTGAATCCGGGATCGACGACGTAGACGATCCCATCGATCGTGAGCGACGTCTCCGCGATGTTGGTGGACAACACGCACTTCCGGCCGGGGGGGCCCCCTGGGTACTTGGGGGGGGGGGCCCCCTCGAAGATCCGCTGCTGCTGCGCTGGCGCCAAAGAAGAATACAAAGGAACTACCAACAACTCCCCAGCTTCGGGGTGCCGCTGCGAGGCCTTTTCCAAGTCCCTCTTCGCCTGTTCTATTTCCTCTTCCCCCGTCAGAAACACCAACATGTCCCCGGGGGGCTCGCCCAGGTGAATCTGCACACACACCCTAAACCCTAAACCCTAAACCCTGAACCCTCATGCCTACAAGTAGGCTCACACGGGACTGGTGGAGTGGTGGAGTCACACATAGACACTTGACAGCTGACACAAACACTTGACATTAGTCACAAACACTAAACATGAATCATTGAATATAAACCACAAACCGCAAACACTGGATATAAACCACAAACCCTAGATATAAACCACAAACACTAGATATAAACCCCAAACTCCAACAGAAAACCCCAAACACTCACAATAAACCCCAAACTTTAATGGAAAACTCCAAACCCTCACAGTAAACCCCAAACCCTCACCACCAAAAACACCAAACCCCCCCCATCAACAACCCCAAGCCCTCCCCACCAACAACCCCAACCCCTCCCCAACCCCCAAACCCTCGCGGTACCCCCAAAC